CCCCCCACCTGGCCCCCCGACGCGGGCTGGGGGAGCTACCAGTGTCTGCTGAAGGCACTGAATTTCTGCATGGGGGCTGACCCTGGCCTGGAGCACCTCTTGGCCTCGGCAGCCCCCTCCCCTGCCCCACCCACCCCTCCAGCTTCACTCCGGGCCTCACTGCCCTTGCCAGCTGACCCTAAGGAACCCTGGGTTGCAGGTGGCTTCCCTGTCCAGGGAGGGTCCGGCTACCCCCTGGGGCTGACCCCCTGCTTATACCGGACACCAGGAATGTTTTTCTTTGAGTGAAGGCACCCCAGGCATTCCGTGTGGGGTCCCTGCCAGCTCCACCCTCCAGACTGAGCCTGACTCTGGGACCTGGAGAGCTCTCAAAGGATCCAGCCCTTTGCAAGCCAAGGACAACCAGGACGGGAAGCCAGGATTGAAGTCGCGAGCACTCATCCAGGCCTTGGGGCCTCCGGACAAAGTGGGGGGTGAGGGGAAGGGAGCCCCTTGGGATTTACTCTGTGGCTCTCAGGGCCAATAAAGCCAGTGTGATGACGAAGGTCAGCTTGCTGGATGGCTGGGGGCTCAGCGCCCGTATGCCCGGTTGTGTGTGGGGTTATGTGGCAGGGGTGGGGACCCCAGATGGAAAGATTTCTCATGAGGATTTCTCCTGCTGGGGACTTTCTCAGGGAGTTTCCCAGGAAGGCAGAGGAGGGAGCAAGGAATGCGGGCAGGGAAAGAAGGGATAGCTCCAGGAGAGAGACTGGGCAGGGGTGAGGCTGGGCTGGCCTGAGAGCTGTTCTCCAGCCCCAAACTGGCACCCTCCATACCTCCTATTGTATGGTCATAATAGCAAGGCATTTGTGGCATTTCTTGTCCCGGGTGAGAAGAGGTCCTCTCACTTGTGCAAGATGCAATGGCAGCCCCATTTACAGTGGCGGAAACTGAGGCCCAGGCAGCGCGAGCTCACTAGCTTCAACTCCAAATGGCAAAGGAGCAGCAGGGAGAAAAGCAAAGCCAGGTCTGTGCCGCGCTGGCCTCCAGCTGCTGGCCTGCAGTCTGCGTGAGGACGTGGGTGGGGGCAAGGCCAAAGCAGGTGGTGACCCCAGGAGACCCAGGGCTTTTCTGAAATCCTGGAATGCCAAGGGCATGTCTACATGGGACCAGCATTTGACGTAATGGCTATGTCGCTGGACTCCCATGTAGTCTACTGTGATTCGAGTCCCGGACCTGGTGTCTTAAACTCATGCCAGGCACGTGTGTGTGCGTGCCCGAGATCCTGAGAGGAGAATGGAGGAGAAGGGATTGTGGCATGGCCATCCCCCCTGGGGGGTGATTTCTCGCTTTCTCTCTCTCTGTCTCTCTCTGTCTTTCTGGCGAACGCACACACCCTATAGCAAAAACCTCTCCAAAAAAAAAAGGCATGTCTACATTCTGTGCAGACGGGGAACCCAAGGCTCAAAAAGGTGTCACCTATCTCCTCTGGCTTTCCCATCCTGAGTGGGCCCACTTGTGAGCCCCCAGCCCCCAAGATCTCCTGGTGTGGCTTTGAGAAAGCATTTCTCTTAGGGAGGGGCCGAGGTCTCTGGCTGTCCTTGGTAAAATTCAGAAGTAACTGTAGCCCTGACCTTTGACCTTCTCTAACTAACCCCATGAGTGGAAGCAGGAGAGATAGGTGTATTTGTGGCCCCCATGAGAGGAGCAGACATGGGAACCTGGAACCTCACTGTCCCCACGGCCCCAATCCTGAAGGCACAGAAGCAAAGGCTTCCTCCTCAGAACCTCAGTCCTCCCCTCTGCATCATGGGTGTAGGGAGAGACGAGAGGGATGCTGGGGTTGCCCCGTTCTGGTCTTCGCCATGGAGCCTGGAGGGTTTGTGTTCCACACGGTGACACGTAGGGAGCTGGAGACCCCTTGGTGGCACAGGCAACCCACCCCCTCCAGAGGCCTCCCTCGGGCAGGCGGCCACACTGGCTTCAGCCTCTGCTGCTCCCCCTCCCTCAGCAGGTCCCCTGGGGCCTGGGAGGAAGCGAGCCTGGCTGGACGGCCCGGCTGGACAGCTCGAACCGTCTGGTTCCCACAGACTCCAGAGCTGGGTGGAGGGGGGACCTGCATGGCGGGGGTGGACTGCGGCTGGAAGAGGCTGGGAAAATGCCTGGCCAGCTGTGGGGCCCCTCCCCACCACCCCTGCCCGCCCCAGCCCGGAATCCACCCAACAACCCCAGAAAGGGTGAGGGTCTGTCCTGCATCAGGGGCAGCAACGTGGGCCACAGGGGACAGGGAAAGGTCCCCTGTGCACGGGTGTGTGGGCAAGGATGGGGCAGCGGCTCTGGTGTGTGGGGCCAGTGTGTCTGTTCACTGCGGCTGGAAGAGGCTGTGAAGATGCCTGGCCAGCTGTGGGGCC